TGGGCGCCCTTGCTCAGCTCGCCGAAGTAGCCCGCCACGAAGCCGACGACGGAGCCGAAGGATCCGAGGCGGCGCTCGAAGGGACCCGGCGAAGCCTCGTCCGGGTAGAACTTCTTGTCGAGCTTCTCGGCGTGCAGGCGGTACTCGCGGTTGATGATGCCCGCGCGCTCGTCGCACGGCAAGGTGCCGCCTCTGCGGGCGGGCGACCGGCCGTAGCGCGACTTGGCGAAGCCGATGGTCTTGACGTCGGCGAGCTGCGCGGCGCGGCCGCCCGGCACGAGCTTGAAGTCCGGGACGATGCCGGCCTTATCCCGGGCCCCCTTGCCCGCGTGCTGCTCGAAGAAGGACGTGGCCGCGTCGGCGGGCACCAGGTCCGCGAAGACGCCGAGGACCTCCCGGTCGTAGGACACGCGCGCCTCGCGGAGCGCAGAGAGGAGTCTTTAAGCGGCTAGCAGCCTACTAGGGGTGACTCCTCGCCAAACGCACCAGCTCTCTCCCTTCCCTGGCATGAGCACGTCCACGAAGAAGCAGCCAGCTGGGGACCGAGGCCTCCCTCGGCGGACCATGCACCTCACAAGGCGCGCAATGGTCCAATGCTGATGCGAGCCTGCGGATTCGAACTCGGCCAAGAGCCCTACACCGCAGCCGCGCTTTCCGCGGGGCTAGACTGTACCTTGAACCGGCCGCCAAAGCAGCCGGCCCGCCTCCGTGCAGTCGTTACACGCCGTTGGATTGAACTGGTCCAACGACGCTCGGGATTATAAAACGCGTGAAAATCCGCTCGCGAGAATAGGGAGTAGGGTAATAAATATTATGGGGATGATGGTGATTATGGCTAGTACTCTACTCTGATAGATCCATTTTTCCAAGTTCACTATAGTGACAGCAGTGTGCGAAACAAAATCCCTCCAACAATTACCACCGACTTATATCTTCAACCTAGAACATTTAAAACACTGCACGGCAACTTGAAGATATGCCACACGCTTGCCGACCCGAACCAGCGACCCGCGCTCCCAGACTGCCTTGATTAATACGATTAGCGCGCAAACTTGCTTCGTTATCTTCGGCGCGGCCATAATTCGCCAACTTTGCCTCTGGTCCCCCTGCTTGGCCGTGTGTGTGGCCGATTTCCGGGGTCCGACGCAACGATAAAAGTAACCCGTTTTAAAGTCGCTGGCGCCGATTGTAAGTCGTAGGGTAAGTCGTCGGGCCCCGGGGTAAGTCGTTGGGCTAGCGCGCGGAAGATACGGCCCGTTCGCGAGTACGGGCCCCGCCGGTCCATAGACGGTCGGGGTTCCTGCGTCTTTTTGTGCGACGAGTCGCCCCCGCCCCGGGGGGGCTCCGATCCGTCGAAAGAACGAGAAGAAACGACTCAAAACGACCGACGTGGCATCGATTTAGACGCGGCGCGCGCGCCCGCGCGGTGTGCGTGTGACCTGACGAGCGACCGCCGCGCCGCCGCCACGTCACTCGCCGAACATTTTATTGCCACGGCGGCCGCAAATCGGCGATAGAAACCGAGGTAGGTAGGTACCCTGGCGGCCTACCAGCCCCAATCTCTAAATCGGCCTATCATGCCGCTTTTTTGTAATTCATAGCGTCGTCGTCGCGTAGTTTAGTCAGTCGCGTCCCAATGAAAACGATGTGAAATTGCACAGTTATCTACGATA